TTTAACATAATTTGAGGGCCAATAATAACATGCGAACACCCTGGCCTTAGTATTTCATCTGGCACTCTAAATAAATTTCATGATCCAAAAGGGTTTAATAATTTCAGTTTTTAAAATTGTATGTGCTCATAACACATTCTACTGCATCTCAGTGTGTTGGCATCTTGGATCTGGTCCTTTCTGTATCTAAAAACAATTGTTTAGTACAAATGGAATCTCTCAACCTACGCCAAGGAAATCCAGAATGAGGATTTCACCTCAAGATGATTTTCAGAGTAACCACATACTTTTGCCTTGATATCAGGGTAAGTAAGACTAGCCGTAAACATAGGTCCCAGGTGGTACAGGACTGGATCTTCTAAGACTGGACCTGGGAGGACTCATGGAGAGAGGTTTTCCGGGTGTGACTGTGGTGGCCCAAGGGACAGGAGGCCCATACAGCTGGTTCCCATTTCTGTCCTTCTGCCTTGAGTCCAGGCTGAATCAGTGAGTTCATATTTCTTAACTTTTCAGTAGAGGAGAAACAGCCAAAGTTTAGTTTGCTCTAATGCTTTGATGGGAACCATATGTTTGATTTAAGACAGTGAGGCTCTTTTTCCTTTGGATAGTGGTTTGTGCTTAGCTATTAACTTCGTTCTGTGGTTACAGTGTGCCTACAGGTTCACTTTTATGTTTTAGTTAATGTGCCTGGAAGAAAAAAAACTACCTTATTTGGTTGTTTTTATTATTAAGGTTTGATACTCTCATACTGCTCTTATTTTTTTTTTCAAATTTTTTTGTAGGTGGAGTAACTCAGTTTATTTATTTTTTTAATGGAGGTACTAGGGATTGAACCCAAGACCTCGTTCATGCTAGGCATGGCTCTACACTAAGCTATACCCCCGCCCCCTCCCCCTCCACTCCCCCACACCCCCCTCAATACTGCTCTTACTGATTTTATATTTGTAGGTACAATTTACATGAATTATATTCAGGTTGATCCTTTTGTGATTTCTAATTTGGGTTTTTAGGCCAAGTCCCATGTTCTTTTCTTGAGTACCAGCTTGTGGGACTGATGATCTAACATGTGATCTGGTCACTGTAAATTCCTTGAGTGGAAAAGTCCTTACCCAGGCTGGCTTTGTCTTTCGCCTGTGTCTTCCTGGGACTGACCTAGACCACCTCCTACCCTTCTTTGACACGCTTCATATCCCAATTGAGAGAAGACAGAGCCCTGTGGACCACCCATGGGGTAAATGACTTCAGCAGTGGGAGGAAACACCAGCTTGGCTAAGTGATGATTTTTGGCTCAAGGGGTGGCTCGATTTGACAAGGGAACCAGTATCTGAGCATCACTTCTCTTTGGGGCTTTCAAAGTTTTCAGAAACCTGGTCTCATATCACATATCCTATCTTCTTTCCCAAGATTTTAATTTTGACCCAGTCTCCTAAGTGTTCTGCAAACATGACTTGTCAGATTTCTCTAGTATTTCTCTTGACTGTTGTGGAATCAAGCCTTTCACTATGAACACCCTGTGTTGTCTGCTGTCTTCGTGTTTTTAGCTTTCCTGTCCATCTAAATGTAAGTTTCTTGAAGTAGGGGGCATATCTTATGCTTCTTTTTATATTATTAAATATTCAGTTTGGTGATGGACATAAAGAAACTAGACATTAATTATAGGTTGATTATTCAAATAATCACATTCTTCTTTGTGGGCTAAACTGTTGGCTTTAGTTTTAGGGAGGATGAGATCTAATTTCAGCTATAACTGAGTTCTAACGTTATGTTCAAATTTCCCATATACAAAATGGCTATAATCTTGCTTCTTTTTTTTTTATTAAGTGTATTTTATTTATTTATTTATTTATTTTTTGGTGGGGGGAAGTAATTAGGTTTATTTAATATTTATTTATTGTTGGAAGAAATAGTGGGAATTGAACCCAGGATCTCATGTATGTTAAGCATGTGCCCTAGCACTTGAACTATACCCTCCGCCCATAATCTTGATTCTTATTGAAGAAGATACTATCATTTCTAGGTAAAAATATTGGGTTTCTTTTTTTAAAAAATTCAGGAATCATTTAGTGAACTTGCAAAAGTAAGTTTACTGAAGCATAGAAACAATTAGAGCAAAGTCATCATTTCAACTTTTTCAAGAGCATTCTAATAAGAAAAGAAGAGGATGCAGAAAAATCGGTCAGTCATCTATTTCTGGATGGAAACTCTTCCCTGAAGTCATCCAGAAAGATGGCTAGATTGATGCAATATCTTCATTTGTGTCCTTTAGATTTTCCTCTCTGAAAGACACTTGTTGGCCTGGAAATTGCTTACTTAATTTTCACCTCAGAAACATTGCTGACTTGGGAAGAGACGACTTTGCCGTCCACCACCTCCTCTATGATGGTCTTAGTCACTCTCGACTTGCTTGGATCTGAAAATCATAGAATCACAATGTCAGCCTGGACACTGTCAGAGAAACACAGATCAGGAGAAACCCAAGTGCATTCACTGAGTACATTCTCCCTGGGCGAGATGATGTGAACAATAGCACGTACTTTTCATATGACAAGCAAAACGTGTCTTTACCTCTCAGTTTTAAAATTATTGTGAACATGAACAAAATGTTTACCTCTTCCTTGGACAGAACAGCTTCCGGATCTTGAGTCGCCAGACATGGATGAATCCCTGGATCCCATGTTTCTGGACCCTGTGTTTCTGGATCCTAAGCTTCTAAAATCAGATCCTCCAAAATCAGAACTGCTGGAGAAAAAGAACTGGTTTCCTTCGTGGTTTGCAAAGGCAGGAGAAACCCTCTGTGCAGAGGGCTCTTTCTGATGAAGGCAGATGTCTTTTGATCGGACTGTGCGACTGTTACCTTGTAAATACGAGTCCGGTCCCCAAGCCCCTTTTTGGTTTCATAATGTAAATACACCAAGGTATCTACTTAGCCTGTTCCTGACTTTCACTTACCCTCCTTCACCATCAAGCAGGCGGCGGTAGGTCTCAATCTCCATCTCTAGGCGGGTCTTGATGTCCAGCAGCTGCTCATATTCTGTGTTCTGGCATTCAGTCTCCCCCCGGATCTGGCAGATCTGCTCCTCCAGGCTGCTGATCTGTATCTGAATTTGTGACAGCTGAGCCATGTAGCCAGCCTCCGTGTCAGCCAAGGTCCCTTCCAGGGAGCTTTTCTAAGAGAAAAAGCAAATAAACATTTCATGATGAAAATAAATCATGGGATGATTAAAAAAAAACTTACAACACTTTATAAGGTACTAGAAGTACCTTCTCCCCAAATTACAACCTCTATTGCTAGATCCATTCCTTAATTTTGTTTGTTTTTTTGGAGGGGGAGGTAATTAGGTTTGTTAATTAATTAATTTTTTAATGGACGTACTCGGGATTGAACCCAGGGCCTCATGCATGGTAGACATGTGCTCTACCACTGAGCTACGTACCCTCCCCCCCGACTTCCTTAATTTTTGTTGGTGTTACTTTTTGAAAACTAAATCTTTTATGGAAATAGAGTATATTATCTTTAACTGGGATATTTTATGCTTTGGACGACCACAATATAGTTCCTCCTTAATCCTGCTTTGATTATGTGCCAAGTAGAACATCTTGGCAATGAAGGAAACCTGAATCACTCAATCTCTGTTGGAGATTTTGGAAAAAAGTGCACAAACCATGGCCAGTTGGGACTGCAGCTCGATTTCCAGGGCTTGCAGAGTACGTTTCAGTTCTGTTATCTCATTCTTGGCGGAACTGGCTGCCCCCGCATCAGTAGAGATCTGTGCTTGCAGTGATGCACTCTAAATACAAACGAAATGCAGTCACTGCAGGTCTGATGAGATGTTGGAAGCAGCTTGTGTGTGGCCGCAGGCTCAGGGTGACAATCTACCTGCTTATTGAACTGCTCCTCGGCCTCCCGGCGGTTCTGCTCAGCCAGCTCCTCATACTGTGCCCTCATGTCATTCAGTAACTTAGTCAGGTCTGTTCCTGGGGCAGCATTCATTTCTACGGTCACATCCCCTCCGGAGCCTCCTTGCACACGCTTCATTTCCTAGCAAGGAGGGAAAAAAAGACCATAGTAATGAAAACCGAAAAGCAATGACTCCCTAAAATGTGCATGAGCTGAAAAGTTGAAACTAGGACACTGAAGGAGGGGAACCCCATAAAATTCACATGTAATTTGCTCATTATTACTCTCTCTCCCCTCCTCCCCTCCTGCATAGGAGTTGGAAATCCATTCAGATGGAATTTAATTAATTAATCTATTGAAATATAGTCAGTTTATAATGTTGTGTTAATTTCTGGTGGATAGCATAGTGATTCTATCGTGCATATATATATATATTCCTTTTCATTTTTTTTATTATAGGCTATTACAAGGTTTTAGACGTAGTTCCCTGTGCTATTCAGTAGGACCTTGTTGTTGATATTATATATAGTAGTTAGTATCTGCAAATTCTGAACTCCCAATTTATGCCTCCACCCTCCCCGGGATTTATTTTTATAGAACGGAGGGTGGGGGAAACTCTGTAGACCAGAGTCGCTGATTCACATGTAACATGTCCCTACCTCCTCGTGGTTCTTCTTCAGGTAGGCCAGCTCCTCGGTGAGGCTCTCGATCTGCATCTCCAGGCCGGAACGGGTCGTGGTCAAGTCATCCAGGACTTTCCGCAGGCCGTTGGTGTCTACCTCCACTGTCTGTCGGAGATGTAGTTCGTTCTCATACCTGGGAGGGTACAGTAGAGCACATTTCGAAAAGTCCAGTCCATCCTTCCATATTCAAGAAAATATTTTCTCCCCTGACCAACTGGATAAATGAAGGCTAAGTTTTCTCTTAGGAGCTTTTCCCTGTAAAGCAAAATCTGAGCCTCATATTAATTCTATTGATGGCCAATCTTTTTTATAACGAAAAAATCCTGAAATGGCCTCTCTCTTTTCTTGTTGGTGGGATGATGGTTTTTAACATTTACCCTTGGGATGTTTGCGAATTTAGGTCTTGATCCCCTAAAAAATTTTTTTAATTTAGAATAAACTAAGCAAATGAATTACATTTTATTTTTCCTACAACATTTGTTTTCAAGCCTTCATTTTCCTTACTTCAGTCTGAAGTCATCAGCAGCCAGTCTGGCATTGTCAATTTGCAGAACGATCCCAGCATTTTCAGTCATGGCAGTAATGATCTAGAAAAGACAATAACAGTGAATAAGTCAAATTGCTTTTTACCTGTGTCTGGACACCCACCTGTGAGAGTAGACGTCCCCTGAATTAGCTTTTAAAAGTGATTTGCTTGGAAAACTTGCTTAGTAATGACACCTGCATTGATAATCCTGATGTATTGGACTACCTCCTTCTGCGAAAATTAACAGTTTGCACAGGTACTGGAACAGGCACAGAACATTGTTTCACAGAACACAGCCCTCGGCATAGTCTTGCTGCTTTGGAAGATCAGTTATTCTATGAGCTCTTTCAGAAAATAGTGTGAAACATGAATTTCACTTCCAAAAAAGTCTTAAAAATATATTTTCCATACATCCATGGTGAAACATTTTAGATTCCATCACATTCTCATATAATATTTGCACCAGATTTTCTAGGAAGAAAAATAGTCGTAAAGACTATTTAAATCTAGCAAGACACTAAAATACACCAATCTGCCAGAATTAATCATGAAATAATTAGACTAAGCTAGTGCCCACACGTTGTCATCACTCTTACATATATGTTAACTAGCTGCCTGGCATTGTATAAATTTTACTCGTATGCAGAAATCCTCAAATTTGAGATGCAAACAGAATCAATGTGGGTTGGGGGTCATGTATACAGTACTATCATGGTTAAAACATACCAAATCCCATTTGACAGATGCAACAAACAAATACATTCAAAAATAATTCCTTGACTTGAAATTCATCATTACACTACATGATCTGAATAAATGGGAAAGACACAGAAGTTGTACAAACTGGGCAAGGACTAGTGTCTCACCTGATTCCTGAGATCTTCGATGATTGGATAGTATTTGCTATAATCCCTTCCGGATCCACCATCTCTAGACCCAGGCCCAAATTTGTCATACCACTCCTTGATTTTGTTCTCCAGATCAGCATTGGCCTCCTCCAGGGCTCTGACCTTGTCTAGGTAATTGGCCAGGCGGTCATTGAGGTTCTGCATGGTTTGCTTTTCACCTCCGGAGAAGAGGCCCCCATCGCCAATGCCACCACCCAAACCACCGCCGTAGCTGTAGAAGCCTCTGCTAGCACCGCCGCCGAGTCCAGAACCCCCGCCGAGTCCAGAA